GTTGTTCTTCAAGGGCCCAGGGCAAGGGTTTGGGGGTTTAGGGAGCCTAACTGAAAAACCTAACTGACAAAACCTAACTGACAAAACCTAATTGAAAAAACCTACAAAACTTAACTGAAAAAACCTAACTGAAAAACCTAACCGAAAAAAATTAAAAAACCTAAAAAACCTAAATCTCGAGAGTCTTGTCATGGATATCTCTCTGAAGGACTTCCCGAGTTTAGGTGTTTTAGGTTTTTTAGGTTTTTTCAGTTAGGTTTTTCCGTTCGGCTCCGGGCACACTGTCTGAAGCTGTTTGAAGCCAAGTGCTCAGTTTACACATTCTGCGGTCTGTATTCTCGATCGGGCCATATAGATGCGGTGTTTGAGCGCGCGTCGTCGCTTCCCGACGAGATGATCGCAGAGGTTTGAGACTTTACACGTCGTGTCTGCGTTCAACTTGTTTACACGATGCTGATGCTCATAATGCTTCCTAAAAAGAGCACATATTCCAAAGTGAAGAACCTCAGAACCAAGCCGTGCCTACAGATCCTACAGAAAACGTAAGCTAGTCTGTAGGGGATTGCAGTGATATTCTACAAGGCCTATAAAAGGCCTAGTATGTAACGTTGTTTTGGGCTCTCTATCGGGTACTCCATAACGCATTGTATAAGGGGTTGTACAAGGCATCAACATGAACGTAAAGATTATCTTATAGAACGTATTCTTCAACCTAATGTATAGGCTATACGGCTATAGGGTACTCAATAAGGTATATATGAGGTATATAGGGGGCATTCTATAACGTATTACCTAGGGTCACCTGCACGAAATTCTTTTGAGGTTTGTGGTATTCTTTAGGTTATTCTCTTCAACTCCTGGATCACTCCTAGAAACCCCCCTTGCCCAATAGGCTGCTTCTTTATGAGGGGTTCTCAGATCTTGGGCTTGTTGAAAGGTTATCTATAGGTATTCTTACTTCCCAAATACCTATGGGGGTGTAAAAAGTTTAATTTTTCGCAATAAGATTACCTTATTAGGGGCCAAAGAGTTGAAAAGTTTGGTTTTGAGCCACTAAGGGTGTTATATGGGTTCAGGGTATATATATATATATACTGTATACAAGGACTGTCATGTATAGGGCCATAAGGGCATTCTGTGAGGTCTTCTTTGGAGTATCTAGACGGTCTTCCATGAGGAGTACGATATATATAGAGGGTACTATGTGTTCCATAAGGTATTCTGTAGGGTATTCTATGTCGTATTCTGTAAGGTACTTTGGATATTCAAAAGATATACGGGCTATGACTGAAAGTATATGATAAGGTATTCCAGAAGCTCTAGGGTATTCAATAAGGCATGAGGTATTCTATGTCATTGCATTCCATATGAAAGGTTTCAAGATACATAGAGAAAGTGTTCTACAGGACATCCTATAAGATATTCTATATAGTGTCTTGTATAGAGTGTCCAATAGGGTATGTGTAATATAATGCGTGCGGGGTGTATCATATATAGGTGGTCTTGTATACGGTATGCGACAGGATATTCAGATGGATTTCTACAAGATATGACGGTTGTGAGAGTGGAAATTTTGCAAAGTATTCCAAAATGTAATCTACAGGGTGCTTTATTGGTGAAATACAGGGTATTGAACCCTGAAAGGTTCGCTGGATTTCGTGTTCACGGACATTATCTATAATCTCGATGCGTCTTATATATGGGATGTGTAGAAATAGGGCCCTCTTTCATATCTATACTTGTCGTGATACTATGTTATATGGGATGATATATCTTTGCTCTCCTGTTGCGTGTTACCTTCAGAGCCCATATTGCTGCATGCAAAAACCTATACACACACACAGAACATGCGTGCAAGCTTGCGTTCTTTTGCAACGAGAAGAAGCCGTACGCGAAATTATGTCGCTTGGAAAAACTCAGGGTGTATATGAAGGAAATGCAGAATGTAGGATTTGCGAAATCTTTGATGCAGTCGAAGCGTATTTAGTGAAGGACTTGTAAAGAGAAGGGAATACGTTATAGAATATCAACTATTTCGCATCCGGCTCTCAAACACACGAAAAAGGTGGATCCTTGAGGGGGGGGGTAGCTAACATTTCTTCTGGAATTTGGCCTTATCGGAACGATCTAGTTCTTCCACCTCACAAGGTGCCGGAAGTTCCCTTTCAAATAACAGTGCCACCGTCGTTTGTTCAATGTTTGCAATTCCAACGTCGACGGCTGTTCTATTGTGTGGTACAGTGTGCATAGTACATGCTTGCCGTTGTTTTGTCCAGCCACCCTTCATTCCTCAAGGACTGGGCGCATTTTCCTCTTTGCGGCAGCTCTGGTCACACTGTCAAGGCAGACCTGCCTTTCCAGATCTCGGTGATTCGTGTTTCTTCTCATACTTCAAGCTTCTTACGAGAAGTCACTTGTGAGAATATCCTGATAGGCATCTTCTGGTCACATTTGCCGGGACATGTCCAAGGCGTGATGTGTGACGGCATTCGGATGACAACGAAACTCGTTCCTGTTCTGATCGAGCAAGGCCCCGGCAGCTGAATGTTATGGTTGCTGCAGACCAGCGAGCAGGCATACATTGGTACCAGTAATGCGTGGCTTCGTGCGGACATGAGATGATGTATTGAAGGCTCCGTCGGAGGCTCCGGGAGCCCAGATGCAGAGCCCGAGCAGGCTCACACCACGCCATGCGAATGCCTACCACAAAAAGTGTGTCTTCTCATTCCCTGTTGCTGTCCAGGCCATGGTGCTAGAGGAAGAGTTCAAGAGGCCCGTGACCTGGTTTCTTTAGCCATTTTGTTAGCAGCTTGGTTGGCCCGGCACCAGCAAATTTTCACATATCAAAAGCCGCCCCCCACAGCCACACCACGATCGGGAACCATGCCAATGTCGTGAACCAAGTGCATTTGAGGAGCAATTGCAGCTGCCTTCGGTGCTTCTGGGAATAAGCGACATAGTAGATGAGCGCCCTGGGCTATGTCCACATCCTTGCATATAGAAGCAAAAGCGATAGGGTTCCGATAGCCTGTTGCCCAAGTTCCGGGACAGTGTTCCCGGTTGATGACAGTTGAGCACCCTGACCTTAGTCCTGTCCGGATGTGGCCCTCAGTGCAAGTAGAACAACGGCCGCAGCAGAAGCACATTCACCCTGTGTTTTGGTTTTTCGTCAATAACAGTGTCTATAATCTCTTCCAGCCCCGAGCCCGGGCAGGGGTGAGACCCTGGAACATGTGTCTTGGCCGCATTGTCTCAATACTTGGCTGCGCGGAGTTTATCTCAGCTTGGTTCCACTATCACCTGACAGGAATTTCAGCGAGTGCTCGAGGCAAGACCAGCTGCACTCCACACGTTCTTCGGTTCGGTGTCATCCAGAAAGACTGTCTGGAGACCACGCTGTGCGACATTTTAGCATCCAGGAGCCCCAGCAGTGCTTCTATTATTGCTAAAGACTGTGGTGCATTGAGCTGTTTTTCTGCAGCTGGAGTAGTAGCAGCGTGTGGTTGATGCACGCTGACACAGGTGTACGATGGTCAGGTCGGTGTGCAGTGTCTGTTGGCTGCCTCTGCCGCTGCCTCTGCTGTTGAGGCTTGAGGTGGTTGTCAGGTGCAGAAGTCAGCCTGTGCCCCGTGCTTTGACGAAGCAGCACGGTTTGCAGCCATCGCCAGAATTTTCTGCGGTCTACGCAGACGAGCTCTGACAGGCACGGGCCAAAGGAAGTGACATCAAGCGCGAGCCAGGCCGGAACTTCCACGTGTGACGCAGATGCGCGCAGATGTGCTTTCAATACGAAGCGAGGCCTGGAAGCCAAGAGCGATTTTGAGGCGCGGCAGGCTGCAGGATCACGTCCGTCGAGCACGTGCTTGGTGTCTGCCTGCGCAGATCGCAGTGCGGGGCGGTGTCCGCTGGGCTGGAGAACTCATCTCTGGCATTGACTTCAGCAACGGAGTTACGTGGGTGTGCCTGCCACGACTAGTGCCAAGGATTGCAAGCATTGGCAAGCATGCGCATGAAAGCCCTTGAATGTTGGGCCGTGAACGAACTCGAAGTTTGAGATCCATTAGACTCTTAGGCTTCGGCTATGGTAGCGCTCTGTCAAAATGTTTCGGGGACACAATGCAGGACCGGAGGTCCTTACGATTGACAGCTGGAGTTGTGCAATTCTTCATTTCGTTACGAGTCTGGTTTGGTTGCGTACGGATTTGGTGTTGGTTTGCCACTGGATTCGGCTGCGCTTCTCGTTGGGATTAACGCTGCTGAGGCCGATCGAAACTAGCCACTAGTCAGAATCTTTCTCAGCGGGACACGATTCGGATACGATGGGATGCGATTCGACTACGACGAGTGGGCGGTTTCCACACCAAGTCCGCTCGGCTCCCAGCCAGCCGTACGTCTCCACACCTCCCCAAGGCTTTAGACAAGCTGGCGATGGCAGCTGCTCATAATCGAGTCAAAACGGTATCCACGTCGCATCGAAAGCTGAAATCGCCCGTAGCGTTTATCCCGCAAGAGTTGATGTCGATACGATGCTGATATAACGCGTACTCGACCTCGTGTGGATAGCTGCCACCCCTTTTTGTTGCGCTGCCCAGCCGCATTTCCGTGACAAGCCAGAACGGCTCAGATGATTGAAGTTTCACGAGCTAGCAGCATCTGCCGGCACGTGGCGGAGTCAATCGCGAAGCTGGATCCGCATAGCGGGCACTTGCAAGTCGCACGGAACTTCGTTCAAGATGGACACTAAAAACTTTGGTGAGATTGCATGCGAAGCGTAGACTCAAAGCCCTAGCAGAAATGATCCAGGAATCCTGCCAAGCTATGTCAGGCTGGCTTTGACTCGACAAAAACACACCTTAGCTACCGACGGTAGTGCATAAGTCAGGAAAGCACGGCTTGGAATGCGTTGGCCAGCAATGCCTCCAGCGGGCACATGCAGGCAGAAACTCGCTGGATGAAGAGCTGGCTGGAAGCTGCTGCCACTTCAGTCATGCAACAATGGAATGGTGCAATGCTCGTGGCTAACACGTCAAGAGAGACATGCACAACCTCCCCTCGTAAAAGATGACCGCGATGCAAAGTTCCGGCAGCGGATTCTTCGAACTCGCCCAAGATTGGAAAGAGACAGAAGCTATTTCGAAGTCCTTGTGGCATGGCAGTATGCCAGAACAAACCATTGGACTGCCGCAAGCCACTGCTTAGCTTCGCTACGTGGGATCAGGGATGCTCGATGTCATGATTCCCACTACGACCAGTACGTGCAAGACATCGTGGATGATGCCAGCAGTGCATCTGTCAGAAGCAGCCGGTGGGAGGCTGCTGTGATGCTGCTTGAGCATCTGAATATTGACCGAGCACCGAGTCGCCAGAAACGCCATGAAGTTGGTACAAAAATAGGGGCAGCAGGGCGCTGGAGACAATCGCTTGCCTACTTTAAGTTCCTGGTGCGATTGGGGATGCGCCTGTATCAGCCTTATTACAGCATGACGATGCACTCTTGCGGCGAAGCACTTCGCTGGACATGGAGCCTGGAGCTGTTGCAGCACCTGTGCTTTTCGAAAGTTGTCGTGGACAGTCGGAGCCCCCAACATGTTGCGCCGTTCGAACAAGTGGCACACACATGCCGACAGGCAAGTACCCGGTCCAGTGCCTTGAGCGCGCTCAAGATTCTGCAGACCGCGCGTCGGCTCTCTGCAGCAACATCTATTCTTCGCGTGAAGGTCATGGGTGCTTGCAGCCGCAGTGGAGATTGGGCGAGCGCTTTGTCGGTGCTTGAGCAGGTCGGAGTCGACGGAGTTCGGCCACATCTTCGGACCTACACAGCTGCACTGACTGCTTCTGGTATTCAGCTGAGCTGGGAGTCTGCTGCTTTTCTCTTGAACTCCATGAAGTCATCGGAGTTGCATCCCGCTGAAGCAACTTTTGATCGCGTCTTGGAGACCTGCCGCAAGGTCAGCAGTTGGGCTCCGGCGCTGGCATATCTGCGACACATGCGAAGGAATTATTTGGCCCCTGATGCGATACGGTTTGCGTCCGTTGCCCGGGCGCTCTTGAACAAAAACATGGTTGACCAAGCCCTTGCAGTTTTAGGAGAAATGCGGCAATGCAACCTGGACGTGGACGTCTCGGCACGTATTGTGTTCACCGCGGGCATGGGAGCCAGCGCAGATTCAACGGCCTGGAAACGTGCCGTCCATCTGCTTAGTCAGTTCAACGCTGTCGGCTTCGAGGCAGATGTTCAACTGTTGTGTGCTGCTGCGAATGCATGCAGAAGAGCAGACAACTGGAGAGACGTTCTGTACCTGCTCGGCGTGGGCGGCATCGAACTAGATATCACTGCTCAAAACGTCGCCGTGAACTCTTGTGCATGCGCGCGAGCCTAAGGGCAAAGGTTTGGGAGTGGTTGCCTCTTGCAAGAGGCTCTTCCTGCCATGAGAGGTCCTTCAGTGGCAGTGGGCTAGCAACCTACTAAGTACGGAGCTCAGACCCGGTGACCAAGTCAAGGGACATGTTGCCATGCCCGATGCTTCGAGGTTGCTCGCAGCAGGCTGCTCTGCAGCTTGACGAGTTGACATTGCCATCCTGGATGGGACTGACCTCAAGGTCGCAGGCGCCGCCTTTGCCTGTGGGGTCTCAACGTCAGTCGCAAAGGAATGCAGCGTGTGATGACTAAGTCAATGTGCGAGCCGCATTGTGCTGGAGAGAATTTACAATTCGCTTTTTCTGAGCAGGTTCGATTTTGCGTCTTGTGCCAGGTCTGGGACCGAAAAGATTCTGGGCGGTCTACTCTTCATCAGGTGGGCACGAAAAGCTATTCTGAAAGACAGGGTTGATGTGCTCTGCGATGTGGGACAGGTCAGTCACTTTTGTAGCCAGTCTGTGAGCATGAATCTGTGAAGCAAGGCTACATCACCGTGGGTTGGAAGGCCAGCTCATGCTCAGAGAGTGCATCTAATGAACACCTGCCCACGCGCCCGCCCACCCACCCACCCACCCACCCGCCCACGCAGGCAGGCAGGCAGGCAGGCAGGCAGGCAGGCAGGAGGCAGGCAGGAGGCAGGCAGGAGGCAGGCAGGCAGGTGTTATCGTATATGCATGCAGGAAATTGTTGTTACTGAAAGTAGACGGCACTTTCGCACTGCCGCCTGATTGAGCAAAGACTCGCCTTCAATCCTATTTGGGCTGTGTTGAAATTTCCGTGTCTGTGTCATGACTCTTGCGACGTCTCGTCCGACAACGGCTGGAAGGCTGCATTAACAACCTCTCTCACGAAAGATGCATGTTAAAGAATCGCATGACCGTGTATGAACAACATGCAAGTGAAACGATCTTCGCTGTGCAGAGTTTCGGCTGGATGAACCAAGGCCCCCTAGCCGTAGGCGCAGGAGCCGGCGCTGGTGGGTTGAGTTCAGCTCTGTTGGCCGCTCTTGTGAGACATTTCAGGGATTCGGCCCCAGACCCTTTCACCTGTCCCAGCCCTGTGTACTCTGAGCCGGCTGCCATCGCTGCTGGCTCTTTGCTGGATTTGCTTTACCTGGCTCCCTGAGGAATAGGCTGGCCAGCCTGACGCTCAAGAGGACCCGCTGCGCATGAGCCAAACTGGCACTTACCGCCTGGAACTTTTGGTGCAATCCCTTTCTGCGCGGCTGGACTTGCTTGAGGAAGAGAACCGCGAGCTGAAAGCTCGGGTGGCTTGGGATCCGAGGGCTACGTCTTGGTGAGCGGGGACCGCGAGCCGAGATCTCCCGGCCTTCTGGGAACGCCCTTCCCTTCCGACTCCTTTGCCATCGCCTCAGCGGGTGACTTCTGGATCTCCCCCGCCTTCGGCTTCGGCATCGGGCTCAGCAGCTCCTTGTCACGGAGCAGTTTCGTCAGCAAGTGGCTGACGAGATTGGCGCCTACTTGCGCCGCTGCTTGGCTGGGACCAAGTGAGCGGGTGAACTTGGCAAACCGATACTACGTGGTGGTCAAGGACGCCAAGGGTCAGGTGTGCGACCTGGCGTGAGACCCAGCCCCTTGTGACCGTTGGGCCATGTTGGGCCCGGCAAGCAGTTCGGCGACAGCATATTGTGGGTCTCCAAGCAAGTGGGAGGCAAGGCGTGCCGTTGGCGGTGTGTGCCTGAAGTGGCCTGCAGATAACAACTGAGACGGCTGCGGCCGATCCCGACTAGCTGCCTGCAAGTGCCACGCTCTGCCCAAGTGCGGCTTGTGGCTCCTGAGGATCGCGAGGAGATCTTGGAGGAGGTCACGGCGAAGGTGTGGATAGCTCATTCGAGCCCTGACAGGGCCCTGACGGCGTTGGAGCGCCTCTGGAGGACGACGAGCCACCGGCATGGGCCACACGGGTGGAAGAGCTAGAGTGGCGGATGTCTTCAATGCAGGCCGGCCTGAAAAAGATCCTCGGGAAGCTCGACGGCGATCAGCCAAAACTTCCTGGTGCGAGCCGCCCGGTTCCGTGAGCCCGTGGTGCAGGCCGCTGACGAAGTTGCGCGACCCTCCAACGGGCAACCCTCAGCTTATCAGGGCGTTTGCAGGTGGGCTTGGGGCCCTCGACGAGACCGACCAGGAGGAGGACGAGTATGACTATGAGGAGCCCCCCAAGACGGGGAACCCCATGGCCGAGGCGATCGCCAAGCTGACGGTCATCGCCAACAACCTGACCGCTTCTCGCCGACGGGACACCACTCTGAAAAGTCTCTGCTGGAGACCGGGGGCGCTTCCGAAGCATCTGGGTCAACGGCTACTGTGCACCGGAATGCGGCTGCCCCTTGCAAGAGCACTTTTCGCGAGCTCGCCGATGTCGGTCGCACGCTTTGTGTGAAGGGCGCCATCCCCGAACTGAGTTGGCTTGCATTGTTGCACCACCTGACAATTACGGAAAACGATGGCACTGCCGTCCGTTCAGGAAATTCCATTCAAAAGAGGAGGAAAACCATGCAGGTACGAGGTCTATAGCAAGAGTGATGCTTTCCGTGCTGTGGTATTTGTGCTGACACTGGGGTGTGCTTGCGCCGGAGTGCATCAGCCACAGTGTGCCTCCTTCATCTTGGAGTGCATGGGTCACGGGTCACATTGAAGTTGGCACCACCAGTGTCAGTGTCATCAGTCCATGAAAGTCGAATTTGCCACTCGTGGCTGCGGTCGCAGGTGATTACACATACTCATACTCCACGTCTCTGTTTGTACCACCCAGTATCTGTCTGTTTACAGTTTCATGATGTCAGACCTTCAATGCGAAATCACCCCGAAGCCAGCCACTTGCGCAGCCTGGGCAGACAAAGGCAGGGACGTGGCCCATGCAGCCACTCCGACCAACTTCCCTTCGTGCAGCTACCGACTCAGGAACCTTTTGAACCGAAGCCTCTGCCGGCACAGCTCGAAAACGACGCAGTTGATATCCTGCACCAACCGTGAGCTGCACATCGAGAGGAGTACCTCAGATACCCGAATCAGTCAATTGACAATCTCAGACCGAACCTCAGCTTCACTCTCACCCCTTCGGCACTTGATTTCAGCTTGCGGATCCTTCGGTGCACCACAACAAAACTCATGTACACGCAACGGCTCGGATTCAGTCAGTGCAATCGCAAACTACAATGAGATCCTAAGAGCTCAAAACTGGGCCGACTGCGCATGTGTCATAACACGGGTGTTTTGGTATATGCCTCCGAAGCGTGTGGTAGAAGAATCTGAAGGGACACATGGAGGCTTTGTGGAGATTATACGGACCGGATGCACGTGTTTCGCAACGCGCTTGATTGCAAAGAAAGCAAGAAAATATCGACATGAGGTGCAAGGCGCACAGAAGATTCCGAGCGCCATGCGATCTCTTTAACCATCCTTGTGTTGGAATGAATGGTGCCAGTGTCTGTGCAACATACGATGAAGCTTGTGCCACAGAGCCACAGGTTACTTATTGCAGGCTAGTCGCTGCTAGTCTCCAGTATTTTCGTGTTTTCATCCCGACCCTCAGGCCCGAAAGCAGGCAAGTAGGTCGAAGCTACCGAGATACCCTAGCCTTGCAGACAAGTTTTGCAGAGCTAGCCTGTGCACAGGAGAGCGTGGTCCCGAGCTGCAATGCTTCAATCGCCAGGTGCGCTGTAAGGTATGTGCTGGACAGACGCTCCAGCTGCTTTACGGTGGTAGGCTGAAGTGCCTGGTGTCTCCCGACGGATGCGAAAGCACTGCGTGCATTCGTGAACATGCACCCTCATAGGCATCCGCTAACCCGCCTGTGGCCTATGTCATTTGTAGTTCAACAGGGAACCGAAAACAGACACACACACACACACACACACATTCACACACAGATAGACAGTCATCCCGACATCCCCACGAACAGGCAGGTTGTTCGAATGTTGTTGGTCTTGTCACGTGCTGCCAACACTCTTTGTAAAATCCCAATCACCGAAGACTGCTTTTGGTTTGACCACAGGTTGTCGAACGGACAAGAGGCTCTGCCATGCCACGGTAAAGCTCTACGAGAAGGAGACTCTGCAATCTACATGTACGTGCAGCTCTCATGCATAGTGTCCTTCGACATAGCCACTGCTTGTTCAGGCACGTCGCTGGAAGCAAGCGATTGGTGTCCTGTGTGTTGCTTGGTTGCATGTGTGTGGAAGCTTTACAAATCTGCAAGTTCTGCTGCACATGTGACTGTGCGGGTCGGTCCGCATGCACTGCGTTTGCTCTACAAGATAATATGAGTTGAGATGCCAGCCCTGATTGAGACCTGTCACCGTGCGGTTGCAGGACATGCGCATGTTTGGCTTGCGTCCCGATGTCGCCACACTCAATGCTGCGCCAGAGGCTCAGGACGGAAAGCCGCGGGAAAATCAAAACAGCAAAATCAGCAGACTCCATTGAACAAACGAGCGAGGTGTCCAGACTTTTACATATTCACTGCGCGAGTGCATCACAACCGCACATTTCGACGTACGAGGTTCGTGGCTTGTGGCCACAGCCGGCTTTGGTGTACAGCTTTGGGTTTGTGATCCCGGCCTGCTTTGCAGAGCATTCGGTGCCGTCCCGCTGGCGGCAAGTCACTCCTCCAGGATTCGTGAATCCGCGGGATTGCTGCTTCCAACACACAGTTCCTCTGAAATGCGTGGTAAGGTGTTCCCGGTAGGGTGGGCATCATGAGTCCTAGTGGGCAAAGCCTGGAGCTGTGGTGAAAGAGAAACAGGGGAGAGCGGATGACAAAGGGGAGCCTGTGATTTGGGTGCACCCGGCAGGCTGCAAGCCACTTCATACGCAGAGTTGTTTCAAGATGGGCATGAACGGCGAAGTCTCGGTATAAAGGCAAACTCCCAAATTCCCAGCTTCGTAGAATCACAAAGCGGAATCCGCACTGCAACGTGGGGCCTACAGAGAGGCAGGGCCCTAGAGGAACATGCTTCCTCTGAGTTTTTTCAGCAGTGGAATAATGTGTCTTGCATCATCTGTAACGATGCTTAGCGGTCTAGTGTTAGTATGTGTTAGTCATGGAGCAAGCACGCGTCGCGTGTCGGTCCAGAAGCATCGCAGCAGTGATGAGTGATGCGAATGTTGCATGCATGTGGCCAGGATGCGGCAGTTCACTCCTCGGAATGCAGAGACAGTCTGGCAGATTTCGAGATGTCACGTGGCCAAGGATGTCCCGACTCACAGTGCAGAAAGATATGGTATCATACGATGCGCTGGCAGCTGGCTTATAAGTGTAGACTGGGGAGCTTTTGAACGCCTCCGCCGCAGTGTGGACTTGATTGAACAAGCCGAACTCACGGAAAGCTTTGCACGCACTCGCTGAGGTCTCTGTACAGGGTCGGGAGACTTTTTGGCAGGGTGTGGTACACCTACTTCTTCACTCCAGGCAGCCTTGCAGGGTTTTCACCAGGCTGCGCGACGCCGCGCGATGCTGCGCGCAGGCTTCGGCCGGACCGGGCTCTGGTTGGCAGATCCATCCAGGTCCTGGCGGCTGCAGCCTTGATACAAGTCCATGCTTGAAGCTGCAAGCGTCGGCTGTGAAGTTCATGTGCCTTGAGGCCAACAAGCCCGAGATGGCCCGTGCGTTGCGCTTTAGCTGCCTGTAGCTATCTCTAAACGACTTCAGCTGGTTGTCAACAGCTGATCAAGAATGAACGTGAGCAAATGTTACACATGGACAATCATGGACATGGTTCCTTGGCTAGAGCTTTGGTGTTCTTTGCAGCAGCCAAGGTCCAGAATTGGAAGAACACTAGCGGAACCATCAGCTGGAAAAGGATGCACCCAGATGACCTTTGCGCATGCCCTCATGTCAGAGACCTGCTCCACGGCACGTCGTAGCATGACTCTTTTTCGTCACGAATGTCTGTCAACTCTGTAGATCACGGTTGCCTCCGGCCAGTTTTGGACTTTGCTCGTCGGCCTGATCGTTGTTGCCGCCGCCTCGAAGCTGTAAGCCTGTAAGCAGAGCTGTCTTGCCTTATTCCGGAGGCCGGAGGCCTTTCAGAGCAGAACTTCTATTTGCAGCCCTTGCTCTGATCCGAGGCCTGGCTTCTGCCGTTCTTTCGCTGAGTGGAACCAGAGGCACGGAGGCCGACCATCCCCGTTGTGGCTGGGAAGTGCTGCGGTGCTGCAGTTGCTACCGATGTGTGCCGCTGTGCATTGTCGCGTGTGCAGGAGGCCGAAGCATGAAGTCGAAACTTGGCAGACTGCACAGAGCGGTGGCCTTGTTGCGGCTGGACTTGTTTCATGTCGTGTATATACACTGTCCAAATTGTGCCGCTTTAATAATAATTCACGTCGGATCGTGCCCTGCCGAGCCAGTTGGATGTGGAGCTGCATTGAGGAAACTCCGACTGTGTGCGGCCTTGTGAACATGCCGGTGAAGCTGCCAGGATGATCCAGGATGCTTGTAAGAGGCAGCTCAATGCGAGTCTGGCAACGCATAGCCGTCTGCTCGAGCTGGAGCAGGGTAGGTGTCCTGTGCCAAATGCCTGGTCATGACGATCACCACGGCCACAGCCACGGCCACGGCCATGACTTGGAACGCCCCCTGATGGATGGCCACAGCCATGGGCACGATCATGGCCATGGCCATGGCGACGAAGGACATGGCCACAGCCACTCCGTGGAGACGCCCAAATCCGACTATCTCGATGACGAGCAGCGTCTGCAAAGAGCCGTGTTCTGGGCCCTGCCACCTGGCTCTGGTTTTCCTGGCCCTAACGAAACCATGCATATCCCGTTTCGTGCCACGCCCTTGCTCGGGATTTTCCGTCCAGGTCGTTTATGCTGGTGGAGATCATCGGTGGGTTGATGGCTTTTTGGCCGCAAGTGAGGTAATGCATGCAGATTGCTCACCGGGTCGACGTCACGTTTGCTACTTGCATGGTGGGAGCTTGCCACTCGCAAGTTTGCGGACGATTTTTGCGGGGCGAGGTTGGAGGTGGTTGAAGGCCTGAGGTCCACCGGGGCAATGAAATGCAGTCACGCATCCCATGCCTGGGGCATCGGCACGGGCTGACCGTGGCGCACCAGCGTAGGTCAAGCAAATCCGTAACCCTATTGACTACTCCACGTGCCCACCGGGGGAATGATGGTGTGGTTCCCTGGCAGAAAGTAATGCTCGAAGGATCTCGAAGGAGTTGGCGTGTGAGGACGATCGCCCCCGGCTGTTTTTTTCCATCTTAACGGTGAGACCACTGCGAGATGAGCCGGTAAGACCGGTAAGACATCACGGCACCACCAAAGGACACCTGACCTGTGCTGGTTGGTGCATGCTCTCCCCTTCTTTGCCTGTGAGGCATCATTGGTTATTGCAACCGGGAACTAGCAGTATCCTTTCTGTACTAACATCCGCCCAGGTCGTAGGGTCCCTACGGAGGGTCAGCTCGTTTGGAAATCATGCAGAACTGCTCTCCCTCACTCTGGAATGTGAATCACCGGCCTGAAAAATGGGCGCACAAGAGGCCTGTGTCTGTGCCGAGGCTTTCAGCAGGGAGTTCAGGTTCAGGTCCGCACTCTCAGGAAGGCGGCGGCATCACATTGTTTACGCTCCGTTCGGGACTCGTGTCCCGGTTCGATGTCACACGATGACAATTCTTAAAGCTCCACACCCGCTTTGGTAGTGGAAAGTTTGGCGCCAGCCATTCAGCAGCAGGTTGAGAAGGGCTCTGTGCAATGCTACCAGCTTGGTAAGTAAACTCAGAGGTGCTTCAGGTATTTTTGGTTTTAGTATGCTACGCTTTGGTTTCGAGCCACCAGTGCTTGGTGAGCCTCCCGCCCGAGCATTGCGACGCACTCACGCAACGCAGGTTTCTCCCGTACTTGGCTTTCAGAGACAAACGGCTCCTCCAGCCTGGAATTCGCACACACTGTCGTCGTTTTCGGCCCACAGAAGATCCATGCCGAGCCGTGGTAGTGGTAACGTTCACCCCGAGCCCATCCGCTCCCGCACAGCATCTGTGCCCGCTAACTCCCAACAGCACATACTGTTAGGTTTCAGTCTCTAAAGAAAAGAGGCCTGGATCAAAGCGGCTGCGGACGGCCGACGACGGAATAATCCAAAAATGAGGGAATATGAAGGACGGGAGGCCCGAATCAAATTGGCTGCGGACGGCCAAAACGGCGACGGAAACTTACCGGAACTGAGTCGACGGAATATAAACGACGACGGAAAAACGACGAAATAATCCGGAAATGATTAACGTCTGCTGGTGTTTCGGGTCTTGGGGGACTTTAGAGATGGAAACGGCCACCAAGATCGCGAGCGCTCATGATGATCTGACCACGCATGAGGAGATTTTGGAATGAATTTTCCAGTCGACAGTCACACCCATCCACCATGCGAAAAGAGGGCGTCATGGACTCTGCTGCTGCAGGGTTGTTGGACTCATTTTCATGCTGCCGTTAGGCATAATCTTAATTTTCCTTCCAACGGTGACCCATCGTCAGACGATCGTGATTCCCTGATGCCCAAGGCCAATTCTTTGGCCGTTCTTACGGATGCAGCTGCTGGGCAAAACCTACTATAATGCTATAAACTGCACGGAAAGCAGGCATGACCAGAGAAAACTTGCACGCATTTGCACGCTATTCAGGCACACATGCTGTCCGATGTCGGTGGTTTCATCGTGTCGCTGGTTGCCCTACAGCTTTCCAGAATGGAAGCAACGAAAGAGTACACGTTCGGCTACAAGCAGGCTGCCGCCTGTTTGCTGTATCCGTCGGCGGTGTCCGCACATCCGTCTCACCTAGGCAGAAGTTCTGGGCGCGCTGTTGTCAGTGGCCCTTGTTTGGGCCCTTACAGCAGTTCTGCTGTCGGAGGCCTTCGACGAGTGTGCTTGTGCAGGACATTCCGAAACAAGCAAGTGTTTCGCATTGTCGCTGAAGGCAGTGCCAAGATTTTTCAGGAGACTCAGCTCAAGTTGCTGGGCCGCAATTCAGACACAGTGTTCTGCGTTCTCCCACCAGGCCGGAACCAGTCAACGGGAAACTGATGCAGTAGCCTCAGCGGGCTCCCAGCGCAGTAAAGCAGTTGCCGGATGGTGTGGGCCATTGGCCGCCGCATTGCCATTGTCAGGTTTGTCGTTGCCACGATCGGCTTGGTTGTGAACCTGGTATTGATGCAGGATCGCCACATGTCTCTCTCCTTTTATGCTTGCAGTCAGAAGGCCCTTCTTCAAGCGATCTCGTTGTGAGGTGTTGGGGCACGGACACTCGTTTCGTGGCGGCAGTCAAAAAGTAGCTGCAATGAAACTAGTGAAGGGTCCCAAGCATAGGGCCATGCTCGTCGAAAGCAGCCTGTAGGCACGATGGTGGCCATGGACATTCCCACGACGATGACAGCGTTGCTGTGCAAGCCGCCCTGGCCCACGTCATCGGCGACATTGCAACTTGACGCTACGAAAAGCGTGAGGCAAGCTCTGCTGCCTGCTGCCTGCTGCATAGTCTCTGGTTTTACGGGGACCGCGCATCTTCCAAGGTTCAATCGCTGGGGGTCTGTGTGGCAGCCTTGTGCATCTGGTTGGAACCTTTCGATATTGGGTCGACTCCAACTGCAGATGGAGAGGCGCGAGGCTTAGCTGCTTAGCTGACGCTTGCACGTGATTTGCCAGTCTGTCAGCCTCTCGAGTGCCTGGTAGGTCAGCAACTGGATTTATGTCGCCCGGCGGCATCTTAATGGTCTGCACATTGGCAGTGATACATCATAAGTATGCGCATGGGTGCGTTATAGCTGCTCTCAGACATGCCTGACGATTTGCTTTGGTTCTTGTCGGGTTCAGGCTAGGTTGTTATGCTTTCACAGGACACTACTTGATGTTGTCATATTGCACCGAATTGGCCTGGGGCCGGCCTTGCCCTGTGATTTCCCTCAGCAGGTTTCCGCCTCAGCCTTGACCCTTGGCAAAACTTCAACTTGGGTCCTAAAACCCAGTACCGGCTTCCTTTCAACTCAAGCCGTGAACGAAAACGTGCTGGTGCTCTGCAACAGCGGAAAGGAGCGAGGGCTCGGCACAAGCGCGAGTACCATGATGTCCACGTCGGTTCGTCTGGAACCTTCGTTCCTGGTCTGTCCGAGCCAACGGATGCTCCAATCGGATAGAGCCCGCGTGCTCAAGTGCAGCGGGTTAAGGGCGATGGAGATAAGTTCTTCCTTAAAAAACTCGTGCGGTGTCACAGCCCTCGAAATTACAGTGTTCCAGTGGCGGTAAAGATAAGTAGATAGACCAGGAAAGAAATCCATTGCCGAAGACGACCACTGCCGAACATCTGCAAGCAGCTTACCTGGCCAACAGAAGCTGATTCACACTCCCACATGGATTCTCTCAGCCGCCTGAACGGGTCATGCAGCAGTGGTTGTCGTGCTCAAACCCTCCCTTGCTCTGAATGCATGCTCTCCGTGGGAAGGATCACGGATCATCCGTTCTCCGCAAACATGTGTAGGTGCCGGTGCAGTAGTCGTCGTCGTAGTAGTCGGAGTCGTTGTCGTAGTCGTAGTAGAGGAGGAGCATGAGCAGGAGTAGGAGTAGGACTAGGGGTGGGAGTAAGAGCAGGAGAAGGAGTGGAAATGGGTAGGAGTAGGAGCATTTGGAGTAGGAGTAGGCGGAGGAGGAATGCGGAGTAGGAGCGAGGATATGCCACAGCATCATGAGTAGTGTTGCTCACGTGCAATGTGACGATGTGTAGTGTAGCGACGGAGCTCAGGCCGATCCAATGTGCACCTGCCGCACAGCCGGACAGATGATGGAAGCATTGTTACATCTAGCTTTTGTTTCTGAAGTCGCAGCGATGTCTTCAGCATCGCTCTTTAGACGGCAGAAAGCTGCATGAACACACGGACCGCCCAGGTATGTTTGGGGTGATCGTGCTTTTTACCACCAGGTCGACTATGGCCGCTGGCCCAAAAACCAGGCAAGTCAGTGGTAGTCAGTGGCTTTACCCATTGGCAACCATAGTAGCTGAGGTGCGCACCGTAGAGACGTTGATGGGCAAGGCACCAACAAGTATAGATCAGAGCCTGGGCAGACGGTACAACGGTTCCATTTTCTTGCGGCATCAACAGGCATACCGTTCCTTTTGCATCCATCACATCGACACAGTACCAGTATCAGCATTTTCGCTGCCCGTTCATGCAATCCTGCTGCTCGTGTTTCATGTTTCCGAAGCGCAACATGTGTAATCTCAGGGACAAGATGTCGGATGAATTGCTGCGAATAGAAAATGCCTCATGGCCGGATGTTCGGAAATGTCCCCACACCTTTCCGCAATGACAGTGGGGAGTGGGGAATCTGCATCGACGCGAGCATGCCGAAGGTCGAATCCATTCATGACCTCCACGTTTGGAAATTTGGATCCAGCCAAGTCTGTTGCACAGCACATCTAGTTGCAACTTGGCTTACACTGCGCAAGCCGCGCAAGCTGCGCAAGTGTTAAGGAAGAGAGCTTTCTTGATCGATGTGTGGGCACGGCCAGGTCGATTCGCCTGAGCATCAAGGGCGGGCTTTGCGTGAGGCCGCGATGTGACTGACGAGCATCGGTCTCCACCGATCGTCTGTTGCAGCTTTTCACTCTGAAATTCGCAATCACAGGCGATTGCGATCGTCAAGCGAAAAGGAATCGGACACAGCACCTTCCAGATGGAGGCAGGACACGGCTTTGAAAAGGATAGTTTAATAGACTGTTGCACAGGTACGTAGTACCACGTGCAGGCTTCCCATAGATCATTGCTTGCGCACAGCTTGAAGTGTGTTGAGGTGCTCGGGGAGATGGCAGCTGACAGATGTGGAGGCTGGACTCCCGAAAGATGGGCTTTAGGAATTTAGGGCTTGCGGGCTCTCGTGCAGTTCACTACACGCTTTTCCTCCGCTGCATCCTGGATAGCATAGAGCGGCGTTGAGCGCCAACATCTGAACATATCCTGGCTGCAGAGGGCAAAAATTGCAAAGACCAAATGCCCACGTGGTCCGTCAGCAGGTTGCGATGACAGCCCTTTGGATCATGGCCACGATCATGCTGAGGGCGGCGGCCACAAGTCCCACGGTCACGAGTCCCATGGGCACGAGTCCCATGGGCACGAGTCTCACTGTGATGGGTCCCATGGGTCCCATGGACACGAGGGCCACGGGCACGAGTCACACGGACATGGGCACGATGGAGCCCATGATAATGGCCATTCTCACAGTCATTGACAGATGCGACAGGGTATTCTTGAGCCAGAGCCTGGGACGTTGTTCGAGAAACTTTCGAGGCTCCCAGATTGCTTAAATCACGGTGCGGCAGAAGCAAAAAGGTTCAAATGCCCGAACGGGAGTCCGTCGGTCCGTTGGCTACCCAGATATGGCCTTGGCAGAAACGAGCTTGATCGCTAACTCACAGTTCCTGCAGCATGTGCTGTCCAGTACGCTGAATCGGTGCAGAATATGCCGCAGAGTGCAGGAAGCAAGCATTGAAGGGAGTTAGGGCATGTGCAAGATGGCTTGCGCTGCCTCACTCTGATTTGGATTGTCGCGGAGCATACTGCACTGACCATTACAGTTTGCTGCATGTAGTGCTGCTGCTTGCCGAGCAGCAAACAGCAGCGGCAGTGCTAGAAGGGTTGCCGAAAGAAGCATTGCACCCTGCTTGGAAACTGCAGCTGGTGTATGCATGAATACGCTATGCCAATTTGCAACTCCACTTTCCCTTACATCCTTGATGCGTGCATGTGTCGCCGTTTTGGACAAGTTGGGGCTAGTCGCCACTTTGCAACAGGGAGCGGGGGCAGCTGGGGCCTCGGCATGCCTCGGCAGATAGCGCATGCTCCTGGAGTGTTGGGCATGTTTTTCAGGCCATGCAGCCTCAGCTGAGGAATGGTGTCGAATCCTGAGAATGTATCGCACTGTTGGCGTGTTGCTTTCGGTTGCACTAGCTTCCAAGGAGAGAAGGCGGCTTGGATGGCTGGCCATGATGTCTGCAGTTGCCCAAGTGAGTCGCAGTGTTCCAGAGGAGCTTGAACGTTGAGCGGGCAGTCTTCTGATCATTTCCATCACCTCCTGTTCCTGTTTTTTGGCCTCCTTCCGGTCTGTCACCCATTGATAGAAGTCTGGCTTTTGCCTGGCTGAAAGTCCTTGTATGTGAGTGCGACTTTGGGAATCCGGAACCCTCTTCGTTTTTACAACTCCGACCTCGAGACTGAGGAGTTCGCGACCTAAAGCGCCCCGAATCCAATCCTGACGATCTTCAGAGCCCAAAGCATCAACGCAACTCGCGACATAGCAGCAAACGAGGGCCTTAGGCACCCTAGCATGCGTGGAAGCGGGGGGCCTCGTGTCACCCGGGTCCTTTGAGTCTGAAGTTTATTTATGCGCCCTTGCCCGCGCTTGGCAACGAAACGAACGACATCCAAAATCTCAGAAGGAGCCTGCCCTCGAGCCCTGAGCGTCAAGGCAACCCCCGGTTGCAGCGCAAGCCATTCCGAGAATGACTTTGACCCTCCACTCATGGCACAGACACGGTCACACTTGGATGTCGAGCAATGCCATTACGGCACATCTTTGAATATTGAATCAATCGCACCTCTCATCACCCTTGTCTCTATGACATTCTCTATGACTATGGCTCATACTCGCGCTAGGCGGCATCCACGCGTGATGATTTCGGGTGATTTCAGGTCCCAAAGGGCTTGCAAATGCCGCATGTGCCGTGAGACACCCCGCGACATCGCCTGCCACTATCGGACATGAGCGTTGTCTCCAGCGGCGCTGGCATGAAAGGGTGCAGGGTCTGCTACATCATATCGAAGTACATGCTGTGCAAGGTAGTAGAAGACTCAACAGCATAGCGAATGCCGGCCGATGCATGCACAGATGGCGCAGACAAGCGCCCTTTTCTTTATGCCCAGGTTTGTTGGCAATGCAGGGCATAGCACGATGTCCGGCGTCTTGTGCCTGCTCCAGCTCCATAAATCATGCACTGGTACGGGCCACCCACTGGCACTTCGCAAGTAGCAGAGCTTTTCGCAGTCTTTTCGCACGTCCAGAAACCCAGGCAGCTGTAATCATGGCCATTAGCAGCATGGGGCGCGGCTGGCATCATTCGTGCGTCAACTTTCGCGGTCTGAAGACCTGGGCGAACATTTGTCACGCCAGGCCAGTGGGCGATATGCTGGGCTTTGTGGCGGGCTACGCAGTGCCAGGACAGGCAGTGCCTGAAGGTCGCAGACACTGCGGCATACTGCGCTTCAGGATCGCCAGACTGCAGCCCGGTCGCTGCACCCTAAGACGTGGCGGAGCCGCTGCGCTTGTTTAGCACGGCGGAGCCAGAGCCCAGGCCATGGAGGCAAAGAGGAAGAGAACCTGGCCAACCAAGTTCCGACAGCCAGAATCTCAACGCAGATCCTTTCCTGCTCGCTTTCCTGCGCAATGCTAGAGTTGCAGGAATGCCGAGTACTTGGCACGCCATCCTCCACCAGCCATGACGTCAAAGGCCGGAGCCGTACTGATCATTGCAATTGGTTGAGTGGCTTTGCACCTGATGTTCTAACAGGGTAATTTTCTTACCGATGCTTTGCGAGCAATGGAGCTTGTCTTGGCAGAAGCGACGACGACGCCTGCTCTACATCAATCTCTTCCGGCGTCAGGCCAGGGGAGAGCCTTTGTTTCCCTGCCTGATTTGTGAAGTTGCCGAATTTTCGTAAGTTTTGTTCAGCCTACATCCGGTCGTGAGTGAGGATAGTGAGCGGCAGTCAGCTCGAACACATACAAGATGTCTTGTATCCACGATGCAGCACGCTGCCAATTGCAGTTAGGTTGACAGTCTCCAGCACTGCCAGCTCGAAAGGTCATCACAGCCCCAAGCTAGAGCAGACTGGCATGGGTTTGTGCTGTAGCAACGACAGGCGTATTAGCCCACGCGGCAAGATTTCGGGCCGGTACTGTAGCTGGCTCTGCCAAGAACCTTCCACTCGTGGATAACAAGTTCTCGTCCCTGGCGAATGCATTCAAAACATGTGGAAGCAAGCCTGGTGCTTTTGTCTGCGATGGTTTTGGCGGGTTCCCCCTAGTTTTTTGGGATGCGGTCACATGCTCTGTCAGGACTAGTCTTAGTAGTGACTGCATTGAATTTTTTCGCTGCGTACGTAGATGTGACGGCCCCAGGATGAGATGTTGTGCGAGAAGTACATTTACAACGTGTTGCCGGCTCGTGTGCATGTGCTTGTCATCAACAAGGGCGAACACAGCCGGCGTTGTGCTTGTGCAGACGTGTTTCTCAAGAGAGTGAAGGTGTGTAGTAACAGGTTTCAACCTGGGGGGGCACCAGCAGCTGGTGTATCTGCTGGTTCAGGATGTTACAGGGGACGGATCATGTCGAATATGCTCGCGCATACAAAGAGAGCGAGCAAAGCAGAGAGCGACAGAGAGAGAGAGAGAGAGAGACACTTCACTCTCCTTATCCAGATAAAGACTATCGGGTGGGCCTGGCGCCCGGGGGCCTTGACCAGTACCCATGCCCGGGAGAGAGGGAGAGAGAGAGAGAGAGAGAGACACCTCACTCAGTAGGTTGGAAGGGGTTGAGGTGGAGAGGGGATGTCGGGGCCTAAGTGTGTGATGTTCCCCTACGTCTTTTTCCTTAGTTACCCTACCCCACTCTGCTTCCTGACCCGACGGCCACCGACGCCCTGCCACAGCATCATCACTACACCAGCAGTGCGAGGACCCAACAAGTCAGTTTCCCATATCGTGCGTTCCGTAACCTCTGCCCCTTTGCTCCCAACCTCGGGACCCGCAACAAGCCACAGTCCACCAAGCCAGTGGCCACCAATCGAACTAGCCTGCGCAGTTTACTGCAAAGCACGCGGTGCATCGTTGTTGCTGTTCTGCTGTTAGAGAAACCGAGAGCCCTGACAAGAAGCAGAAACGTTCCCACCCGACAATGATCGGGAGCTGCCGCGGGATCCGAGCGAGAGGGATATGGACACCGGGGGAGCACCACAAGGCTGGGAGCATACAGTACGGCTCCTTAGCGTGTGGGTTTTCGGGGTAAAGTTGGCTGCCCCTGGTGTCCAAACCCTCGTTTCACATACAGTCCGTTCGCCATGTGCTTAAGCAAGCTTCCGAAGTTCAGGGGGAAGGTGATACTTAGTTGGGGCATAAGCATCTCGAGACAATTCATTCTGTTAACGGCTCGACAAAAAGTCCCGACACCACAGCAGTTTAGTGACGGAAAGGCGGCATGCTAGACATCAGAAGCATCATATACCTTTAAACTTGTGTGTGTCTGTGTGTCTGTGTGCATGAGTGTGAAATACTGTCTGTGACGGTGTTTCCATGCATGCGACGTTGACTTACCTAGAATCGACAGGGGTGTATGCTTGCCAGGATCCCCGAGATGACAGGTGGCAGTGGGATGTGGACAAGACTCGGCAATTCCTGGATGAGGAGGTGTGTGTGTGTGTGTGTCGATTAGATGGATCTGAGCCGCAAGCCTTCCGTGGGTGGGCATTGAGGCGACCATGGTCGACGACATCAAGAGGAAAAAACTGACTAGCCGTGATGACTTGGGCATGGCACTCAGTGTTCAGGTCGCTCCCCGAAACATTTGTGCATTAATCTTTGCGAGCTGACAGGCCTGCCCCTGCCCCCAACCGATCTGAAGCTGAAAGCCATTGCCAAAATCCAGCGTACCACTGCAGCACAAGCCTCGAAGTTCGGGCCTCAGCTGTTCAGCCACACAGTCTCAGGAGTGTTAAGAACTTGAAGTCCAGATGTGGACATGTTGGGCAGGCAAGAAGCAGCGAAGAACGAGCAGGAAAAAGCACCGACTGCGACCAAGAGAGCCCCTGCTGCTAACAAACGGCGGGGACGAGGCGGTGTCACCGAGGAAGTGCCGCTGCCTCAGTGGTTGCAACGTGGTGCATTGCTTTCGTCATTTTGCACAAGACACAAGCTCGAGGGATGTGGACCTCGGGAATGTTGATGTCGAGTTCTTGAACTACAAGGCCTGATTCCAGAAGGAAGCCAACGGCAACTTGCAGCACGCACAGCTTTTGCTGCATGTGTCCACAGCTTCGGGCCTGTCGCGTGTCAAGGACAAGGTGGGGTTTTGGTCTGAGCTTGCATTTTGCTGCAGGGTCTCGTCATGACCAAGAAGCAGAAAGCAGCTTTCGCGGCACGAGCCGCGAAAGCCAAGAGGAAACAAGACCGTCGCTAGGCCTGACCCGATGTCTGGATCCGGAGAGCTCTGACGGAACTTCAAACAGTTTGATTGCACTTGCTTGTGGAAGGATTTCATTCTTCTGAGCTTCGCGCTGTGGAAGTGAGTGCCCCATGATTCGGCTAGAGTTGCGCTGAAAGATATGGGATGTTTTGAATGTCTGTGCTTGTTTGAAGAGGTGGGGGATCATGGACATGCATCAGGATGAGGTCTCACAATGAAGATGGCTTGTGCCTTGCAGTTTTACTCTGGCTTCTCCGGGCAGAAAAGAGAGTGATAAGTGATAAGCCAGGCCGCGGCGTAAATGTCAGATTGACCTCCTGACCACTCCGTGACTGCTCCAGGCCACACGAGCAGGTGCGTTCATGGACAGTCATGAGCAGCAGAAGCAGAAGCAGACAGGGGGAGTAGCAGCTCCTGAGCTTAACGGATTTGTGAATTGACCAGCTAAAGTGCAGGACAAGCACGTCCTTGTCACGCAAGGCATGGAGAATGCCATGCCCATGTACCGTGTGGCGAATTCATCGAAAGCGCCTCTCAAGAAGGAGCTCTCGACGAAGCAGGCGGTTAGCGGCCTTTCGAGTCGTGGGACAGGGACAGCGGAAGCCCCGATCAAGAAGGAGCTTCCGACAAAGCAGGGTACGGAATCTGCAGAAAAAGCAGAGGCCGCGAAAGCTGCTTCAGTCCCGATCAAAAAGGAGCGCCCGACGAAGCAGGGCACGGAATCTGCAGGGAAAGCAGAGGCCGCGAAAGCTGCTTCAGTCCCAATCAAAAAGGAGCTCCTGACCAAGCTCGGCACGGAATCTGCAGGGAAAGCAGAGGCCGCGAAAGCTGCTTCAGTCCCGATCAAAAAGGAGCTCCCGACGAAGCAGGGCACGGATTCCGCAGGAAAAGCAGAGGCCGCGAAAGCTGCTTCAGCCCCGATGAACAAGGAGCTCCCGACGAAGCAGGGAACGGCATCTGCAGGGAAAGCACAGGCCGCGAAAGCTACGTCAGCTCCGATCAAAAAGGAGCTCCCGACGAAGCAGGGCACGGAATCTGCAGGGAAAGCAGAGGCCGCGAAAGCTGCTTCAGTCCCGATCAAGAAGGAGCTCCGGACAAAGCAGGGCACGGAATCTGCCCTCGCAAAGGAGCTCCCGACGAAGCAGGGCACGGAATCTGCAGGGAAAGCAGAGGCCGCGAAAGTTGCTTCAGCCCCGATCAAAAAGGAGCTCCCCACGAAGCAGGGCGAGGAATCCGCAGGGCAAGCAAAGGCCGCGAAAGTTGCTTCAGCCCCAATCAAAAAGGAGCTCCCGACGAAGCAGGGCACGGAATCTGCAGGGAAAGCGGAGGCCGCGAAAGTTGCTTCGGCCCCGATCAAAAAGGAGCTCCCGACGAAGCAGGGCACGGAATCTGCAGGGAAAGCAGCTGCTTCGACAGCTACGGCAGCTCCGATCAAGAAGGAGCTCGAGAAGAAGCAGCGCACGGAATCTGCAGGGAAAGCAGGTGCCGCGAAAGTTGATTTAGCCCCGATCAAAAAGGAGCTCGCGACTGTTTCCATGAAGCAGCAAATGATGCCAAGCAGCAAGAAATCAAGGTCTGCCTTGCATGGTGGCAGTGCTGCCAAGACTGAGAAGGCTGTCAAGAAAGCACAAAAGAAGAAGGTTGGAACGGATGCAGAGCCTGCGAAGCGCAAGCGGCAGAAGACGTCGACTGTCCCAGGTAATTCGCTCGGTGCTCCCGGAATTACCACCTCTGGATACGCGCAGCCTGGAGGTTTCGGGGATGGTTCGTGGGGCCCAGCCCCGGCTTTATCCTCAATAAAGAAGCGACAGCGAGCTGCAAAGACAGAGGCAGACGTGATTGCCCCAAAGCCTTCATGTCACGCTTTTGTTCTTACTTTAGACAGTCGTTCTCTCCGTCAGGCGAAAGAAGCATCCAGAAACGCCCTGCATGATGATCATGATGCATCATGACCGGAGTTGGCAGGGTTTCAATCGCATCGTTTTCCGGAAGTATCATTTGGCGATGGTTCGGATAGTATGACTGTAGCTCTTTCTGTGAGGCATGAAACCATAGCAATGACCGTTCGCACGTGCTAGCCGAGGCCAATCAGGCCGCAGAAGAGCCGCTTGATTGCAGGAAATCCCGAATCCTTCCCTCAGAATTCTTCTCCATAAGAGCCGTGACAGAAATGCCTGCAGGGAGCTCTTCGCCCAGGCGCAGGCTGAGACCTGGCTGCATATAAGCTTGATCCGAGCCGAGCCAGGTCCCCGTCCCGGCTGCAAAGCGACGTCGCACAAGAGCAGGCCCAGGAAGACCTGCACCAAACGGGGTTTTCAGGAATCACATTTCGGGAGTCTCATTTCTGCTTTGCATGAAGGGCCTCGGATCGTCCAACCTGCAGTTCCTGCACAGATCAAGATTGTGATTCCCGCCAGATCGTCGAATCGTGGACTGGCTCGAATCAGCAACTGCAGATGCCTGCATGCAACGAATCGCCTGCACCAGTTGAGCACAAAAGGGCGGCTGAGCCGCGGACATAAATGCGGCCAGAACGGATGTGAGTCCTTCACCCCCCCAAGTGTCCGCAGCGATAGAACCTGCTCTTTGTGATTTGCAGGAATGTGCTGTGGCTGTGGCCAGAAGCTGCCGGAGGCTGGGGCTGGATGTCGCTCTGACAAACCTTACTCAAGCCTCGTGGAGTTGCAGCGCATGGCAGTTGCGACCGCCAGGGTGCGCTTGCCTACGACAGATCGGACCGAGAGAAAGGCCAGTGTATCTTTGTCTCGCGCGCGCGTGTGTGTATGTGTGTGGGTGTGTCTTCAGCATTCTCTCTCTGTCTCTCTCTCTCTCTCTCTCTCTCTCCCTCCCAACCTCCCTCCCTCCAGGGTACCTTTAAACAAGCACTTAGCGCAATCCGCGTGGATTTAAAGTTGTTTTCCTTGACGATGGCGTGGGTGGTGGATTCCTCCGCTGAAGTGCTTGTCCATGCTTGTGTTTTACATACCATTCGTTTTTTTCATTTTTTCGCCCCTGCAGCGATCAACTGTGAGAGTCCCAGAAAGCTTTTCCATCGGAGCGAAGAGGTCTGGGGACACCTGCTGCCAGCGCATGCGTTTCCTACGTCTCCACAACCAACCGGAGGGTCATCGCATTTCAATCGTAAAAGCACTTGGTGTGGGTACAACCACCCCCAAGAAGGAACAACCATTCTATCCGTGTAGTTGGTTTTTGTAGTATTGTAGTACCGTCCATAGTTGATGCTCGGCCAGGCTCGGCCTACTGTGCTTCGGCAGCAGCTACTTGTGTGGGATGGCAGAAGTTCAGCAAGTCATTGACATGGCTCGCACATGTCACCCTATGCCCCAGGCGGTCGCAGTGTCAATGCATTCTCTGGTTGCCATGAGGCGAGCCCTGTTCTGAGCAGCTTCGGAGCCAAAGGAGCTTGGTGAGAATTGGCCTTTGGACTTGGCTTGCTGATACTTGTGCTGACTGCGCTGAGCTGTGTCTGGTCCTGGTCCTAAGCATGAATCAAGGTGATTTTGCATGGTGCAAAGATCCACAATCGCGGGGAGCAGACGTGAGCTGCTCGGAGAAGAGCCGCAGGAGGAGAGGGAGAGGGGGAGGGCGTTGCTGCGGAAGCTGGGCCCCAGGCCTCGGCTCATTGGCCGGCCGTTTGCTTGCACCTCGTTTTCTCATCAAAGGACGAGTCGGCCCCTCAACGTCGCGACATGTTGCGGCTCTCGATGCTCTCATTGCTGGGCATACCCCAACTGCCGAGGAAGAAGCCTTATGTGGTGCAGCTTGTCCGGCCAAACTTTCCTGAGCAACAAATTCCTGCGCAGCGCGTAACGTCCTCATGGTGCTTCTTCATCCTTGTTCCGCGTTCATGCATGGCATGGCCAGCTGCATATGTCGGCATGTTACCCAAACGAGGTAAGACAGCGAGATGTGGTGCCATGGGAGGCTCGAATCATGGGGTACTAGAGACGGCACGTGACAAATACTGGGGTCATAGCAAGCAGCAAGCTTGCCAGGATGCTGTGCTCAATGCCAGCATTGAGAGACTCGCCAAGGGGCGTAAACGCACCTGGCTTAGAGGGGTCCTCGTACGGAATGGAAGATCCAGGCTCAGCACGGACCATCATACGCCTCAGGCAAGCGAGCTGTTGATTTGGCGGCCGCTTTACGACTGGCAGGTGGGTGGGTGGTATCAGTCGTATGATTGTTGCCTGAAGAAAGTCCTGCACCCCTTAACTCCTGAAGCCCTTAACCCTTCAACCTTTAAAGCCTCAAAACCTTAAACCCCAACAAACCCGTAAGTCTTGTCAAGCCCCTGAACCTTTAACACCTTGAAACCTTACACACCTTAAACCCCTTAGAACCAGACCCGCAAACTTTCAATTCCCTCGAAACCCTGAAACCCCTCCACCAGCTCGTCTCCCTGATTGGTCCTTGCTCTCTCGGCGTAGTCTTTGGCGGTCTAAACACGGCTCAAGGGCTTTCATTTATGGACGGTAAAGCCTTAAAATCTTCAGCCATGTGACACCCTGCAAATTCCTAAACCCAGAAACGCCTTAAAGCCTTCCCGTTAAGCTCCTTAAGCCCTAATGCTCCCCCAAATCCTTAAAGCATTAAGAGCCCTAATATAGATGTTATCCTGCAGGGCTCCTTACTCTATTTATACTAACCTGTACTCTACCCCAAAACCCTTTAGTTATTCAGGCCCTTATACTCTAGAAACCTCATACTAGCTTTGAGAGAACAAATTGCAGTTGTCAGTGATCTGCGCTGCAATCACTCTAACGGATGCATACTTGGCTTGTGAAGTTGCATTGCATTTGCAAAGCCTGCTGCACAGCCTGGAGTTCTCAAGACAAGCGCAGAGCCTAGAGCGTTCTTGCTTCGAGGCTAGTCGTCGTTCGGTGCTATCCTCTTGGTTCAAACCAAGTCTAAGTTGTCATCGCAGACAGATGATAGGATTGATAGGTCAACTTAGATTCAGGAGCGGCTGGAGCCAATCTCACGTCGGCTTGCGTCCAAGAACTGCTGTGGAATCCGGGTTGCGCATGTCGCGGCCAAGCGAAGTGATTACTTGCCGGCTACAGGCCATGACGTCTTTGAGCACGATGAGGAAGTGCAGCCGCCAGCTCAGGTTCATGGCGACTGCACAAGACTGCACAAGTACTTATCGTTTGAGAAGCTGCATCCGAGGGCCCAGATGCGTGAAAGCTTCGGACTCACTAGGTGCGCCTCGAGGATCTAGTGCAGTGTTGCGGCATTCGGTTAGCCATCAGGGGTTATGCAGGCGCGAGAGGTGTCTGGTGGATGTCACCACTTCGCCCAAGCCGTCGAGCTCCTGCGGGACCATTGAAGCCCTCAGCTTACTTGTGGTGGCGAAATGTGTCGGCTGTGTTCGGCAGCAACTGAAACTGAAGGCAAAGACCCAAGAGAATGCAGGGCCTCGATGCCTCGGAGGGCCAGATGCTCACTTTTCTCAATGCAGCGCCTGCCGCCCATGCAATACGTGCAGCGAGCGGATTCGAGCGAGGTCGAAAGAGAGCCACATCAGCAGACCTCGAGATTTTGCATTGACCTCAGCATCCTCCAGCTCACGATGCCCCACACTGTCCAGACCGACATTGCCACTCGAGGCAGCGTGAACTTGATGCAGCCAGCCAGTATGAGAAGGAGTTGCAAGCAAGGCACGCCCCGACCACAAACGAGTTGTCTGGTCTGTTGTGGCTGATGCAAACAGGACTCAAGGTCTCGGAAAGCTTACTGTAGGATGTAGAGTTTGGTTTGCCTGGCAAGTTGCATAAAAGCCCGACATAGTCATCTGGAGTGGAACATAATCATTAGGGCCCATTCTCAGCAGCTCGGCCCGTCGAATGATGATACAGGAGCCTCAAGACACATAGGGCAGACTCGACGGTTTGCGGGGATTAATATAGACTTTGTTGAGCAATCCTAGTTGAGGTCAAACGGCTCACGTCGTTTACGATTCGGCTTCAAGAGTTCGGGACTGAAGACTCAACCGGCAGACAAAGCCGAATACTTTGCATGTTTAAGACTTTTGGATTTACTGTAGTGTTCATTGCCAAGCAAGCTGCAGGTAAATCAGAACGACGTAGGGTTCGCTTGTGTGCAGACGGTCTGAGCGCACTCGAAACTAAGTGGCAGTTACTCGTAGCATGAATGTTCTTTGCAAGATCTCGTGTAGGCTGCAGAAGCTGAAGAATGCGGCCTGAGATGTAAGTCTGAGCGATGGCAAAGGTTTGCAGCTTTGCTTCACAGCGAGCGGGGAGCGTTGGTTTGCCTCCCTGCAACGTACAGCCGTCCGGTTGTGCAGTGCTGGGCTACTCAATATGGAGTTGAGAATTCTACTTTGTAGACCATCAGTTCTTGTGCATTGTGAACTTGAAGTCGAAGTCAGCATCCTCCTTTTCTTTTGTGGCGGCTCTGCAGCATGGACCCAGTTATTCGGCTGCTGAATTCAGATCTTGGCTGGGCACCGCCAGTGTGCAATGGCGGGTGAGGAGTATGTGTTCGCGTACGCTTGCAAAAAACGCAAGTCTCGAACCTTCTTCAAGTGTGCTCCGTCTGCAACGCAAGACGCTGTGGATGGTGGTAGGTCACGATCGTATCGCTCAATGTGCCTAGAGATACTTGCCTCAAGCTCGAAGTTGGATAACTCTCCATCTCCGTGCCAATTTACATTCTCCATTGAGTTCATCAACCAATGAGTAGCTTCTCGCACCCCGGATAAGAACGATAAGCAGAGGCATGATTCATTGCTTGCAGACATGCCTGTGCCTGAGTAGAGACATCACTACTTGTGGAATCGGATCGTGTCCAATTTAATCACTTGCCCCTCCAGATGCGTTGCCGGCATTAATGGCGTGATGGCTGGCTGCGGGGGTGATGAACAACTCAACGGATGCCTTGGTGCAGTTGTGGAACATGTGTGTCACTTCTCAGGGCAGCTGCCCCGAGCAAGGTCTTCAGTGGGACACCTTGCGGCGAGTCATGGAAGGTTTGCCCGTGGCTCGCTGCGAAGCACTGAAAACCAACAGCGTCGACGAGATATTGAGCTATCACTTCGGCCCACATGCAGCGGGAGGTGTTCTGAACTACGTAAACTTCACTCTTTTCTGGCACGGCATGGAAGCCATTTTACAGACGGCTGGGTCAGTGCCCAAGTCAATTGTAAGTATAGATCACGAGTGTCAGGTCAGACCATGTAAACGTGTCCTGCTGCATGCTGCTTCTACTGCATGATCTTGTCCTGGCTCCTAACTAGCAAGTTTCATGCTGTCGCATGCTAAGGGTCTTCAACCATCGCGGCTTCGATGACGGCACCCTGCAAGTCATTGCCAGTCTGCGCCATTTCCGGGATGCTGTGCTGGAGCTTCCGGGTGCTTTCGGTGGGTCACTCGACGAGCAGCCGTTGGCGGAGTGCTCCGTCCGCAAGTCCTTCGGTCCACGATGCACACAGGAAAAGCCAGTATCAGTATCACCTCGAAATTTTTCCCAGCGCATGTCGGTTGGTTAGGTCAGGCCTTAGCTGAAGCCATGGACGACTCGAAATCGTTGCAGCTTGAGGTCAGGCCCAACTTAACACTAACGGAAATCTTGCGAACCTATTGAAAACACATAAAAACACAACGGGTGAGGACAGCAAGCCGCCAGCTCTTTCCAGCTTCAAGAAAACTTGCTATGCAGGCCACTGCAGACCGGTAGAGTGCGAGGGAGTACTGGACAAAATGCATCCTCCACTCTGAAAGGCAGACAGGACTTGGTGTGACTGCAACAGAAGGGACCTGCCTTTGTTTCCGTTTGCTGACACACAAGCCTCAAAGTTTGAAGCGTCCGGCTTACATTCGGGGTTGACAAGAATTTTCTTGTCGTTCCGATTAGCATTGGCTCCCACCAATCTTTTCCTATGTTTTGCCGAAGGTGTCATGTCCGCGAGCTGCGCGTCCTCTACGACCAGCTCCACGACCAGGGCCTCCTCTCGGGTTCTGGAGCGGTCGCGGAGTATTGGGCTGACAAGCTGCAGCAGCTGCCCAAAGACGAAGAGAATCTGATGGTCTCTGCTGACGAAATCTCGGCTGCATTGCTGCAGTGGCTCGAAGACCTTCTCGGCTACGCCGAAGGATCCGAGGCCGGGTCGAGAGCTGCTGGTCGTTGCACATGGCGATATGCAAAGCCAGCAAACGCTATCAGATTGAAGTGGGGTTGGTACCAGCTAGCCGAGCAGACTCTGTGCGAGACGCTCGTATCTTATCTCTCACTCATGTGGTGGATTTGTATTCGCAAAGTCGTGGAAGACTTCGAAGCTCGCACGAAATGGCTGCTGGAACGATTGTTCCATCATGTCTTGACCCATGCAGCATCAAGCAGCTATCCTTCTTTTTGTTTGACACTTGAAGCTGAGACGATTAGACCTGTTTTGCAATTGTGCTTTACAGCCGACACATGGCGCACCCTGGGCATATCCGGGCATCATGGAATGCACGTTAATTAGTCCATCCGATAAGCTGAACATGTTCAAGCCCGGGCGAGTCGGAGTAGCACCAGAAGTTGCATTTCGATTCAGAACCCCTGTGAGGATGCCTCCTCCGAGGAGCCGGAACAAGAACTTACCCCAGAGGCACACTTTCAGGCATGAAAAGCTCGATTCTGCCTGCAGCCTTCGCATTGCTCAGGTGTTTGCTGCACGGAGCTTGCTAAACAAGAAGCCGGAGGCGCAGTGTTCGACACGCATCGCTCCGGTCGCTTCGTGCTTCCCTGATATGGCCAGGATGCAGTGCGGGCAACGGGTGCCACAGGCAGCTACTTTCGATTCTTCAACGCACTGAAGCCTGGGCCAGTGAGAGCATGCTTAACATGGTGACGGTCGGCAGGTCGGCTTTCCTGGCTGCTCAAGCCAGCTGTTGCCGAGAATGTGGAGGTGAAGAGACTTGCAGATGCACCTTTCGAAGATGCCATTTTTGAGAAATGTGTCTTATGGATGATTTTTTTGTTTAGGTTCAATAGTTCAGAGCCTAGCCGATGTCGTTGACCAGTTGGCCGCCGTGTGCTGGCATCCGGCTGTTTACTTGCTTACTTGCTCGAATTTGTCGGCCTATCAGTGCATCTATCCTGGATATGCGGTGCTTCGGTTTGGGCTTTTTTTGGGTCGCGTGATGCTCCTGTAACTGTAGATGTTGAATCCTGCCAAAGGTGTATTCGTCGCTCGAATGGTTCGCAAGTCACCTCAGAGTTGTAAAGGTGGCCAAATTTCGCAGCTCTCTCCGAGAAGTGTTTCTGCACGATGTCTGCGCCCGAGCAGGGCAGAGGAACCGAAGTCGTGTCGGTTTGCCGCGATCGCAGCCTGCAGCGCAGCCGAGGACATCTCGCTGCGGGACTTCTACCGCGGTGTGCGAGCCTGGGCCCTGGATGGCCAGTTTGCCAGTTGGCAGTGAACCCCTCAACAAAACTGGAAGCAATTCCTGGACCTCTATTGATCTAGTGCATTCACGAGGCAGACTCGGCAATTTTGGATCAACGGGTCAAAACTGGATGCGCCAGGAAGCCATTCCAGAGTCTGCGGCAGGCTTGCTTGCCGCAGGAATTCTGAAGTCGTGCTTTTCTTTGGGTGGATGACAGGACATGACAGGATTCAGGACATTTCAGGACCATCCTAGCAGGCAGGAATCTAGAAGCCTGTGATCCTTCAACTGAACCACTGAACAAGGTTTCCCCTGATCACCTTGGCCTCCGCCACGCCACCGGTCGACCGGAAGTCAGTTCTGCCTGCAATGCAGCAACAGTGCCTGACTCCCCTAGTCCCCACCTCGAAGCCCTGCTAGCCACTAGCATCCTTAGTAAGCTGCAAATCACTTGCTTTGGACCTTGTTCAAGTAGGGTTCGCTCCACTTCCCTAATTTCCGGCCCTCCCCCTGCCATGAAGAGCGGTTTGCTAATGAACGGTTGTTCAGGGTGATAGGGTTGCCCATTTCCCCCGCCAGAGGGCCAGATGCATCCTGATCATGCTGCCTCTGTTCAAGTTCCTCAAACTCGCAATGATTGTCAAGGCATTCGATGCGGAGCTCCCTTCTCGTCGCTTTTGGATCTGGTGCTATCAGCTCATCAGAATCTTCATGTCCCCATTGTGGCTGTGTATGTCCGTGCCTGTGCACTTCCCCACGGTTTTCAGAGTGCTGCGTGATGCGCAAGCAGGCCAAAGGAGCTCCCACGCATCCGTGCTCAGCTCCAGGTCCTTCAAGCCGAATGGCGATTCGAGTGCCACCAGAGGACCAGGCCCAGGCCCAGGTGACCGCGAAGGATCGCGTCGTGCGAGCGCCGGGTCCTGGACTCATGCTGGTAGCAGCGCCTGAAGAGCGCCTCGTCGCGCGAGTTGGTATCGTCATTCCTGCATACTCCTGCTACCAGTAACAAGGCTGCACCCAGTCGGCCGCCCCGCTGGTTTTGCGCCATGACCATGCGGCCTTTAGCTTTGGTCCTCGGTGGACTCTCCCACCTCATTTTGCGCACTCACTGTTTTCGCCTGTTTCACTTCCGGCGTGGTGCGCTCGCACTTTGGGCAGCCCGGTCTGCCTTTCATCTGCTCTGTCTAAGGAGTCTAAGGGATCCATGTTCAAAATACACCGGAAGGTTGACCTGACGCAGTGAAGATGCAGCATGCTGCTTGCTGCTCCGGGATGCAATCTAATTTCATGCAGCACTTTTGCTTGGGCGCCCCTTCGGGCTTGTTGCATTGCTTCCAGCCCTGCTTCGGG